TAAATCTGAAAAGTTTCACCTGGTCCAAAGCCTAGTTTTCTGTTTGTATTTCAAGTCTTTCAAAACGAATGTTTAGAAAAAGCCAGTTTTTAAACAAATCATGTCATTAACAAACAGAAACAACAGAAGATTGTCCTTTATAAAATGATGGTATGAATCATTCAAAATGTTTCCCAAGCCTTCCCAGATCCTTTTTTTTTTTTTTTTACATGAAACAATTTGCTAAATACAACTCCCTCCCACAAACTATTTCAGTCCTTACAAAACTACGTTTCTGGGGCAAAAATATACCATTTGCTCAAAACATTTAAACCCAACACAGCTTTCATAAGGACACTGACACTGTTTGTGTTGAATTTGGTTTTCCAGCCTGGGTAGGGCTGGCCTCCCTTCTGTCCAACAGATTGCACTGTTAACCCCTCGCACCAGCGAGCAGTAAAGAATTGTGTCGAGTTCAAAAATATTGTTCCTGACAGTGAAATGACAAAGGATTAGAATCAGCCCGTGCCCTCTTCTCCCCATTCACACAAATTCTTGCAGTCCTTACAATCGAGAAAGAAGGGTACAGTAATGATGACAGTTCAGAACATTTCAGCCAATTCATGGCTTTAATTTACCGAAGGCTGATACTGTCAGAGTTATCCAAGTGAAGGCAACGCAGAAACGGTAAAGAACGAGAAGACTTACAAGGCCACGCGACAAAGCCTTTAGAGAACGGTCAGGATATTTCAACTGCCTTGTCATGGCATTTCTGGGATACCTCAGTGAAGAGCTGCCCAGACTAAGCAACACATCCCTTCTGGTGCCAGTATAGGATTTCGTCTCTGAAAGGTGAGGCTGACAAATTGGAACTAATCTAAGGCGGTGTGGTACAGTCATCTCGCCTGCAGGGACACATTTCAGCATTCAGCTGCAGAATGCCAGCTTAAGAACAAGCTCTTGATAAAGGAAAGTTCAGGCCAAGCCTGGGGATGCACGACTTTTAAATCAAGAACACTTTTTTTTTTTTTTCTGTAGTCTACCCCCACCTCCCTGGGGATGGCAATAGGTTCAGAAGATGATAATGTTATACTGCAAACAGAGGGAGAAAAGTCGAGAAATCTCTCTTCCTTGAACTAGTTTTCCTTTATTTCCTAAAGCTGTTTCACAGTTTAATCCATCAGAGAGGGTGAGATTAGTATTATGGAGAAACACACAAATATTTTTATTTTTGGGCCATGTTCTTTCAAATTAAAGCTAAAGATCAAGTCATGCAACCCCAGAAGAAGGGGTCTTTCAATTTAGGTGAGAGCTGAGGACATGTTGCCAGCTAAAACAGAGGGCAAATTATGCTGAACTCATTGTTGATCAACAAATGGCATCTTCCTGGGCAATTTAATTAACAATTATGTTAGGAGGAGTTGGGTATATTCAGGTGGCAAGAAAAGGACTATGGAGGTGTAATTTTTTTTTTTTTTCACTGAAGAGAGTTTAGTGTAGTAGTCATCCTCACAAAAGAGTATAATGCCTGCAAAACAGCAAACAGGTAGCACTGCAAGCAGGAGCAACCCCAGTTAGCCATTCAGTCCTTTGGCTTGCAGGTGAATTTGCACTCTGAGGGCTCCACTTCTCTGCACCTTATCCCTCCAACACTCCTACCCAGCCCACTCTGGTTTACTGCACTATGGTTTGCTTGTGAATTTTCATTTTTCACTTCTTCTCAGAAAGAAACAGTTTAAAAAAAAAAAAAATTACATATTCTGGTTTCCAAACAGTCAGTCAGAAATTTCACTGGAAATCAAGTCAAGTAGAGGTAATTTCACCAACTCTCTTGGTTTATGCACTGAAGTTATTAAGAGATAGAACCATACCAGTTCACTTTCTATGAAATAAAAACTTATGTCCTAAGATTACAATCAAATTACCCACAGGGCACTTTGTCTTTTCATTCCTAACTATATGGGTCCACAAATTCTTAAACTCTTGCATAAACTGGAATAAATCAGTAAAGTTTAGTACCCTATTTCCATGCATATGAATAAACTTAGCACTGACATTCATTTCCATGACCATTTCTTTTGGAGCCACCTGAACGTACACGTGATGTATAAATGAGTTTCCTTGCAGATGTGTCTGTGCTGCGAGCACTTGTGCTTTACAGCTGCAATATTAAACTCACTTGTTGCTGGTTATGACTATTTCACCACACCAAAGTCCCTCTCGAGTCACAAACCCCTTGGCCTGTTCTCTTGAGGAATTTATAGAAAACAGGCAGTTCTTGGCAGCATTGTTGCAGATTTGGCTTGAACTCCTAAACCTCAGTTCACGGATTTTGGAGGAGAGGGCAGGACCCACATTCTGGGCCGAAGTCCTGCAACCCCAGAAGTGACAATGAAGAAAATCTCATCAGCCAGCTGTTACCATATCATCCTGGGTAAATGAGTGGTTAGTTCCAGTTTTGATCTCAGGAGAACTAGTACATCCCGTCCCTTCTATGAGAATTGCTGACACACTCAGTCTTTTAATGGTGCCCACTGTGCCTGGGATTTCAGAGGACAGTGAAGTGCATCCGACAGTGCACTTTGCCAATTGTGCAAAGCTGTGTACTGGTGGGGTGAAAAAAAAAAAACCCTCTCTCACACTGGCAGGAGATCAATTTACAAACTCAAGCATGAGGTTTAATTACCCATTTCATTATCTTAGCTTGCATAGCTCTGAATGTGAACCTTCAGTGAACCAAAGAAATAGTCACCAGCTGCTGCTTTGAGAAAGAGGGAGATAACAGGAAGGAGAAGTTCAAATGCCTGAAGCTGCTCTTGCTGCATATGGCACCCCTGTTTGCAAAGGCAGGGGATTGTCCCCAGCCAATAGATGTGTGTTAGACCAGGTTAACGTGGAAGACTTCTGAAAGTCCTATTTATGTGCTAATCTGAACAAAGACCAAGAGAGATGAAACAGAGTTTTCTAGCCAATCACTGAGAAGCCTCAGAGTTAAATTTTCAAATACAAGCAAGTGATCCTTGGGGATTTTTTTTAGAAATTCATCCACTAAATTCAAGTAAATAAATTGTGATGTGCTTGTGGATTTTGTATGAGGAGGAAATAAAGTGTTTGCTGTAAATTATTCACTCAGCACCAGTTAACTGCAATGCCGGCACATTACTAGGCTTTTTAATATTCTTCTCAAGATAATAGGTAGCATTTTGCTTATTACCCTAATTTTTAAGTTACTAGTTACATTGGACCATTTGTAAATACAGTGAAGAATTGCAAGAAAATCAAATGTTTTTCCAACTACCTCATTAAAAGTCTCTTCAGTTCAGGAGGCTTGAAAATCCTGCATATCATGAAAAGTTAAACCAATAGTATACCATCAGGCTCAGCAATTCCAAATTAATTCACATGCCCTTTCATAGCACCTGGGTTCCCCAAAGGCTTTTCAAGTTATTAGCCATATGCATGTCTGTAAAGATGCATGCCTCTCAAAAACTGTAAGTAATAGGGCAGGGGAAAAACCTGCAGGGCAAGTGAATTTAAGGGGAAAAACAAAAACTGCTTAATTGCAACTGGAGTTGCTTATGTGCAAGGCACCTGGAACGGAGGAAAATGATGTAGTATCAGAGTCTTAGAGCCAACTTAGGGCTTTATTCCTGTGTGGTGACACATTCTGACAAATTCCCACTGCTGGCAGGCTCTGCTACTGCAATATCACTATCTGATTTTGGATTTGCCAAGAGCTGAGTGAGTGTCACTGCAGCTCGGAGGAGATCATGTTCTCAGAAGTTTCACTTGAAACGCATATAACCACTGTTGAAATCACCCATGCAACTCCCCACTACTTGAGTTTAGTAATTAGTACAGCACAGGAGGGATAAGGAGCATGTGTCAGAGAATCATAAAAGCTGGAAAAGACCTCTAAAACCATCGAGTACAACCATTAACCCAGCAGTACCAAGTGCACTGCCAAACCGTGTCCCAAAGCATCACATCCATGCAGGTTTTTGAACACTTGCAGGGATGGTGATTCCACCACTGCCCTGGGCAGCCTGTTCTAATGCCTGACCACCCTTTCAGTAAAGAATTTTTTCCTAATATCCAATCTAAAACTCCCCTGGCACAATGTGAGGCTGTTCCCTCAACAAAGAGCTGCCAGCACCTTCCATTTTCTGCACCTTCCAGCTTCTTCCTCAGTGGTCTCCTCACCCTTACAATAAGGCAGTCTTATTCTGCTTAGCAATGCAATATCTAATTAGATCAAAGCTCAAGATAGCCTGGCTACAGAGTGAATTGTGCTGTTCAGTCTTGCGCTGTAAGCAAAACCACATGCAGTATATTACATTTCTCAGGGGCTTCTCCAGAGAACTGTGTGGTACATGTAATTGCCCCCACAAACAAATCATCAACTAATCAACTGCTTTTCATTATCACCTCCAGCAGCACATTTATTTTGTAAATAAATGCATTAAGAGCAAACAATTTTAGGGAAAACAAAAGATTATCTGAATACGATCTCAACAGAGGAAGTAGTAAAGTAGCAATTCAAATACTAAAATGAAGCAAAATTAGCATAGGGTGGAATGATTATGCCATTCCATGTATCCCTGTCTATTATGGTACAATAACAGAGTGAAATCCGTGACTTTAATGGATGATCTGGGTAGTTGAAGAGAACTGTGATTGACTGACACATTTACATAGAGGCTGATGAGCAGCATAATGAATGCATTTATAAAACACGGCTAAGGTCTAACTCTAAGCTGACATTAACTCCCACACTTAGAGGAGGCTTGCAGAGCAGATACCCTGCTATCTTGAAGAGTTGCTCTCTAGCACTTAGAGCACACAAATTTGCTATTGTGAGCCCCCTTCCTTGACAGGAACTCCAAGAAGCATATGGACACAAGCGAATCTGCAGTTGAAGAGGAATTAATCGAAACAAGCCACATAAGATTCTGTGACAAAGCAGTGCAAAGGTGTATAAGGCAGATATAAAATACACAGATCCATGTCCCACACCATACCTGTAATTTCCTAGGTAAACTCCATCAGGATTGAGCATGGGTGCAATCTTGAAGACCAGGTGGTCTCTCAGTACTTTTGCAATAGGATGGTGGCTCACAAGGAAATCAATTATACCTGGGGAAAAAAAAAAATGAAGAAAGAGTTTGTAAAGGGGGAGTTAAGACATCAGTGATTTCCATCTATCTGAACTTTCATGTATAAAAGCTTAGGATGATCATTCCTCTTGGTTTCTCGCCCTGCTCATGCTTTCAACAGAACAAACCACTTGCAGTCATGTAGCATCTGCCACCTTCTTAAAACTCCAAGAATTTAAAGGAGAAATACCCTTAGTCTCTGCTCATAATCCAAGTAAACTATGGCTGCACTATCAGACACTGTCAAGTTTCCACAGAGGAAGAAGTTATAGCCCATCAGCTGAGCCTTGATAATAAAATATTTCTCCTCCTAAGTGGTAAAATAAAGATACCTTGATTACCCAGCCTGCACACATGAGCTCAGACTGCAGCTCAGCTCACGAGTGGCCACTTGTTGAGCTGAGGCACCTCAGATTCATTTGAGCACATGCCCAGACCTACCCTTGACACATGAACACAGATTTCAGATCATCTGTGTGTATAAAGAAGTATAAACACTTCACAAAAACTGGGGTAGTTACATAACCTCTGCACTAGGCACACATATACTGTGGGACTGGTAGACTGGAATTTATAAGGTCATATTCTTCACTTATTTTACACTCATAAAAGACTGGATTAACTCCACATCATCAGCTCCTTTAATGTGGAACCAAGGCAAGTGACAGGGGAAGCAGATCCTAAATGCCCTTCCTTTGGGCACATCACAGCACCAGAGCCTGCAGGAGCTCCTGCCTCTTGGGCTTGTGCTCAGGGAGCGACTAAACATTGCCTCACCCCAAGGCTGGTGCTGGGGCAGGAGACAGGAATCTGGCAGTTAAATTCATTGCTTATTCCTCCACTGAGTTGGTACTGACAGAAATAGCTTCCAGGGAATTAATGTTGAGATAAATTGAGTTCCTGTGTAATCTCAGGACACCCACAGATAGGTCATGACAATTTGCTATTTATTGTAAGGTCCATCCTGTGAAGCAGGAACCATTTACTGAATTTCCCCAGAATAAATCAATCACTACGGTCTAGTAACAGGATAAAATTAAGCAGAGAAAAATTAAGGCTGCTCATCAGTAAAATTTCACTAATGGTGAGCTCTATTAGACTGTGGAATTGTCTCTCCAGGGTAAGAGTGGAATCCCATCATCAGAAGCATTTAACGCTGGACAGGGTAAAGCCTTAGGGAATAGATATAACAAGCGACAATTCGGCATAGAAGAGATGGCATGGGCTAACTAGCTGACTTCAGAAAACCTGACTTTAGACCTCTATTTTTGTGATTCAATACAAATATTTAAAAATAAAAATAAACCCCAGCTAACATGCCAGATTAAATGCACTTCTTTATAGTTTGGTTGGAATGTACATTAAAGACGGGGCCAAAATCTCACGTCCTGTCCATCTCCCTCATTGAGCTTATTTCCTGAGGCCCACTTTGTGTTTCAAATACTAACAAATCTGAACCTATACTGCTGTTGGAATGAATTCTAATTTGTTGAGGCACATGGAGAAAAATGAGGCTTCTGAAACGTCCAAGATGATCAAGGTATAATTGACTCTAAACTTTAGCAATTTTTCCATCTATTAGTGACTAATCATGAAGAAGGGAAAGTCCCTTTCTGCAACCAAGTCTTCTACTTCAGAAGAAACTAAACCTGAATTTCTGAGGCAAATTAGCATATACGTAATTACATTGCTCAGGAAATGTTTCTGCAATTACCTCCTCCCAGTGAAGGAAACCGAACATTGATCTGCTTTTTGGCTGGTGTTGTGACTTTAGTTCATTATACAACAGCAAGAACATGAAAAAACGACAGGGACACAGTTGGATCCTGAATAACCAGATTTCCTAACTGTATGCAAACATGAAAAGCTTAGCTATGTTAAACTGCTGCTCTAACTGTTTTCTGGCAGTGTCTGAAACATAATCCACAGTATGCACACCTGGAAAGCTCCAAAGTACTTGAAGGAAAATAGCCCCACTCTTAGTCCATGGTTTCTCAAGATGTTGTGCTGGTTTCAGTTTTAAAGAGCTTGCAACTAAACTCAACTGTACTCAAACATCACATCAGTTTATGTTGTCTAAAACACTTGGAAGAGTTAACCATTCAGCCATCATTACATCCAGAAAAACCTTTATCCTAGGTTAGGTATGACTTTCCAAGGAAACTGCAATAAAAACAGCGTAAATAACATGTGTACACAACTTTCCCTTCACCAAAGGCCTTTGGCAGAACAGTTTTGCCATGTGATCTGGGCTACACTTCTTCATGCAGCAGGGAGGACCTTGAATGAATACCTCAGGAACAACATGATTGCTTTTCACACAGAAACCCAAACTCCCAGAGCTTCACTCTGGCTGTAACTGTGCCAGGAAGAGGCTTGTCCAGGTCCTGCTCATTTTGCCCTCGTTATTGATGCAGCCTTGCTCACAGGGCTTGGCAAAAGCGACTTGGCAAACAGAAGCTACAGCTTTCAGCTTCACACAGAGAATTATTCTTCCCTAACCAAGAACATGGTATGATGAGGAAGGCTACATATAAACACAATGGGCGAGCCTCTGATCTGTGTGATTCACTGTTGGACCCAACCAAAGGGAAGAGGCTGACCTTGGGCACCCAGGGGCTTGGGTCAAACAAGCCCCAGCACTTCCCAATGTTCCACAGGCTACTGGGGGTACTGCAGCCAAGTTCACCCAGCCCAAAGAGATTTACTTTATTTCCTTGTTTAAGTTACGTTTAATCAAGCCTAAAGAAACCTTACCCCACCATAAAAATACAAAGCAAGAGTTAAGAATAACTGACTTATGGAATTCTAACCTGGACGTAAAGGCAGTTCTAAGGGACATGAGAGAAGCATCAGATGAAAGCACACATTTATATATACAACCCTCACCAGAAAATTATTGTAAGCATCCAAATAATCAATATAATTAGCAAATAACTTTGTCTTCCAGAGGAACCCAACAGTTCTGGACCCTCTGAAATAGTCTTGATCAATAACATTTAAAATAAAAAGATGGATAGCAGACTATTTAAAAAAATACCATCACAGAGAACTTGGTCCTCCAGTTAATAAATCAATACAAACAAATTTTTACAGCTTCTGTAATCAGCAAGAGACATATCAGTGTATCTCATTAGGCCAGGGTTAAGAATTTGGCAGCAACCAAAGCCCATTTAATATAATTTACTTCAAGGCAGACATGGCAATACAACAGATGCCCTAATTTATTTGTTGATCTTTGTATTAAAATAACAGTTTGCTGGTAAACAGGAAGGGTAATGATGCCAGTCACCCTTGTTAGTGGCTAATAATTGCTTAATTTGTCCACTAATTGACCTGTGCTACTGTTGAAGCACTGGATCGTGTTGCAGGGCATGAAGTAAACAAGGCCACTGTAATGTTACTTTGGAGAATGACTTCTGGAAATAGAACTACTTATTGCTATAAATTTTCTTTTCACAGATGAGCAGATTAATTGGTCTGCCAATTAGTCTGCTATTAAAGAAAAAAAGGGCTGCCCACAGACTGAATGGATCTTCGAACTGCAGCCCCAGTTTGGGTCAAAGGAAATAATCCAATCTGAATCAGTCACATCAGCTATGAAAAATAAGACAAGCATTATTTAAAAAACCCCACAAATCTCTGTGGTTGGAGATCAAGGAAAACAGCCCAATAATGAAGTATTAACTCTTCAAGTGACTTTAAAATAAAATGGAGAACGTGATGGAACGGACTTACTTAGGCATATTATGGTGTGGAAAAGTTCTCCAATTAAAGAAGCAAAACAATATAGATTATTTTCCTATCAAGCTTTCTGGAAAGCAATTAAAATCTTTATTTTTCAAATAATACCATGCAATTATAGATGTTGCCTGGAACCAGAACAGCTCAGAAATCAGCATTCAGCCATGACATAAGAAGAGGCTTATTCATAGTCCACTAGAAATCAACCAAAGTCTTTACATGAACTTCAAGGAGCTTTTCACAGTTTTGAGGGAAAGGAAAGAAAGAAATGAAACCAAGGAAAAGGCAAAACATGTCAACTGCAAATATTAGATACACAGCCACAATAGTCTAAAAAATGCTAGCAGTTTTTAATTAACAGTCTTTCTTGGTAAACACAGATTCACTGCAACTACACTAAATCTGGACCAAATTTCTTCTACTCCAAGTCACTTCTCTACCATTACTCTTTCTCAAGGCTAAATGCACTTTTTCAATTTTTTTTTTTTTGCCTACTTCAGCTCAGCACCTCTCACCTGCCCCAACACTATGTCCTCTGCTCACCCCAATCCAGCTCAAATTATCTACTGGTTCTTCACAGGCACATTAATCATTCGCTCTCCCATAACACATCACTTCCACTGTTCTTTCAAGATATTTCCTCAATCAGCCACCTTAAACTCTGTTTAAACTTCCTGCTGGCTCTAACATGACCTCTCCACATTTGCTCCTTCCAAAGAAAAGCCTGTCTTAGCCCCTGTTTTTTCCATTACTCCATCCTTTCACCCTCAGTCTGACAATATATTTAATTGTATAACTATATAATACATTTGCCCTGCTCCTATTACTGAAAATCTAATCAGCACAGATCCTAATGCAATATGGCAACTGCTAATGCAAACGTATCCTGGACTGTATCTAGTATATGCCAAGAAAGAAGTGATTTATACTTTCAGACCCATTTCCTAACACTGAGTAGCTGCTGGTATCCTGCAGGCAGCTCACCATAACCTGCAGGTTAAAGAGGAAGTGACAATTAGTCTAAGAGAAATAGGATATATTCATTGGAAAATAATTATAAGGGAGTCCTGAATGCTTATGCTCATATAAAACTATTGAAATATACTGTTTAAACTGAACTGGATGTGAATGACACAATACTTATGTTTTATGGTGAGTAGGAGCAAAAATATGGAGTTGGGCTTTTTGGAGAGGTTTTCTTAATATGATGGTAAAAAAACCCCATCAGATTCTAGG